CCCCAAAACCCCAAAACCCCAAAACCCCGAGAGCAGTGAAATACTTAAAACTGATTGAATAATAATTTTAAATAATACACTAGATATTTCCAACTACTTGGCTATAATCATTCATTACAAATAGCTCGTTCAATCATTTCATATTCAGTTTATTATCAATCGATAGTTTTATCATTTAGACTCTCTTGCTATTCCTCTTCATTCTCTTCTTTATTTAGCTCCTCCTCTTCATCAGATTCAATCTCTTCTTTAATTCCGCTAAATTTATTTTGTAGCTTCCTCAGATCTGGACCATCTATTTGCTCATCAAATACCAAGGTAAATTTAAGTTCTTGAGGAATCTCATTAATGGAGTACTTTCTGACATTACTTAAATCTGGAGATGGGAAAATAGGGTCCAGGATTAGTCTAAATAAAATTATTAAAAGATATATTCTTACCTAAATGCATTGTCTAGAACTTCTGGTATTATTCTAGCTAATAGTGGAGAAGACATTTCTAGGCAAGGATTTGTATTTACTTCAATCAAGTATAATCTAAAATCTTCATCTAGCATGAAATCATAGCCGAATAACTCAAAAGAATTATGAAGTCTACCGGGGTCTATCTTTCCGTAAGCAGCTCTGTAAGAATCGGTAATAAGTTTCTTAATTTAAGGCATTAAATCTCTTTTAATATCAATCTAGTATCCGGGGAAAGCACCTTTAAGATATCTCTGGAAATCAGATAGACTCATTTTATTCCCATTTTCGAACTTTCCATAGTCTTATGAATGCTTTTAAACAGCATCATTAGTCAGATGAATATATTTATTTGCTAAATTATCTATGTCAAACTCTTTGCAACTTGTTCTGATGTAAGCATCCTCATAAAAATAACCTTTCAAATTACCGTTTATCGAGGTCATGATTCCATAGCATCTAAAGTCAAATTTACGATTATTAATCAGCAAAGGATAATCTATGTATTTCTAAATGATGTAGGTCTTTTCTTTTTGTGTATTTGCCTTTTGAACTAATGATTTTATTTCATTTAGGTTGGAAGAGACATTGATACCATTGCCTCTATTAGTGTTTTCACCTGGCTTTATGATCCAAACATTCTTGGGCACTCTGAACTTTCTCTTAATCTCCTTTATTTCCTCATCCTATTCACCCATATGATCATGATTTTCATCTGAATAGTTTGAATCATCATCGTCATCATCTGATTCATCAGAAACGTAACTAGCTTTTTTCTTCTTTAAATTTGGAAGAATTAAGCTGTTGTTTTTTTGTTGTCTCTCTAATTCCTTTTAATCTTTAATCTCTTACAATTGCTTATTCCTTAACTATAATGCTTCTGCCCGTTATAGCTCAATTTATTTTGACTTAGATATAAGGTTATTGAAATAATCTTAGAATCTTCTAAACTCTGGGTCATTAACACCACTTTTAACAAGAAAGGTTAAGGGAAGGATTTCGAATGGATCTTGCTCCATAGACAGATAATATTCTCTCATGTTTATGAAGACACCTTTCTTATTTGTCAATTACTTATTCTGCTCCATCTTATTGTAAAATTTAAGACTTTTATGGGTTGAGTTGTTTCCATTATTAGCCAAATAATCTATATGTTTTTATTTTTTCCATTAAGTCCAGAGGAAATTCACTTCTTCAAAGTCTTCATCAGTATGTTATATCCACCAAGATCTTTACTTCAAAACACTTCTAACTGCTGCATCATTATTACCTCTTCCAATATAAAACTTTTATGAAACTTAAACACCACTGCCATTGTTTTGATATTAAGCTAATATTTAAGTCATTCCATTTGACTCATTGATAGCCTAGTGAAGCATAGCATTCATCTTTGTTTTGATATTAACAATGAACTCTTTAGAAGAGAAATACTCACGATGAGCAGTTTTGTTGTCAAATCTCTTGGGAATAGTAATGTTAAATTGTTTAGCCATTCTTTATATTTCGTTAAACTTAGCTTCCTCAACAACATGCTAAGGCTGATTATTGAGGTTCTGATTAAGCCCTACAATACTAGATTGGTTCATAGTTGGGAGTTCTTTATGAGCTTTAAAGATAAGCTTGATTATGTAATTTATTTTTGAAATAGCTTTATTAATTGGATGATCATTTAAATGATCACTTGGTGTATGATAAATTGTGATTCTTGGTTCGGGATGAAGATTCAAAGGAGCTCTTGGGGAGGTTTTATCCTTCATTTTAGAAGTTTATTAGGGTGAAATCTAGTTCTAAACAGAATTTCTGATGATAGTACTTTTCACTTAAGTACGTGGTGTACTTTAAGTCTACGGAAGTGTTGGATTCTTGATTGAATTATTTTGCTATGTTCTATAATTTTCTAGAGTCCTTGTAATTAATTTATGAAGTTGATTTTCCTCATAATAACTCGCTGACCTACTACTTAGCTCTCCATCCTTTATTTCTTTTATGGCCTTAGCTTCAAGTATACTTCTTATCAATTAAAATGGGGATTCAGAACCTTTGTTTCCATCCACACTGCTAGTTTCAGATACATATGAGATTTGGGAACCTACCATACCATTTGCAACTTTTAATCTATCTTTAAGTGCTCTTTAACTTTGAATAATACTATTTAGATGATTAAGAGCCTCAAAACTGAGCTTATCATTTTTAAATAAGCAATCTTTTAGCATCTCATCTGTATACTTTTTGTTCTGTCTCATCATCTCAATTTCATTCTTAAGGTCCACTTGCTCTTTCCTACTAGCAAGCATCCCTGATAATAAACTATTTTTTGTACCCACTGGCTATTAAATACTAGTCCCGCTAATTATATTATTACTAAGCATTTGTGTTTAGGCTAGATACAGAGAAGCATCAAATTTTCTACCAATCATCATCTCTGTTTTTTAAGTTATCAAATGAAGATTTTAAAGTCCTGGGTTAGCTAGCAACGATTCATAGGCAATATTAGGTGTAACATAAAAGGTTTATTAGTTTTCCTACATATTAGTTGTGATCCCAGCGAGAGGGACAAGCTCTCCATGCATTCCATTACCTATTCTGAAATACTTGTTTTTATCACTTGGCAGTGGAGGTTTTTAAGGAGAGATATGGCGTTTTTTCCTAAAGTCACTAATAATACTATTCTATTCGCTTCGAATGTTCAGATTACTTTTATGTAAGATACAATGCTTTATTACACCTTACTATTCCTAAATTCTATTTCTCATTTCAATAGTCTCATTATTTAATTCTTCTTATTTTTCCTTTATAAAACCTTAAATTGTTTCTTTGTTATTTTTGTTGATAGTTAGAGTGCTCATTTGATTTGCTCTTGTTTGATTTTCTTTAATGGCCTTTAGTATTTGATCGTTATTAAGATTATTCTATTGTTGTATTGATTAGTAATGACTCATAACTGTCGGTGCAAAGGTATCATCCTTTAGGTTTTTATTGAGATAATTTTCAAATGCTAAATCATTTGGGCCCGTGCCAACTTAAGTAATAGGGTTTGTTGGATATTTCTGTTTAATTTGAGTCATCTACTAATTTTTCTTTTGTTAAAGAGGCTAAACATTCAGAGCTTCTACAAGCCTTGGTTTGTCTGCAACATGTGGACCTAATTAAATAAACTCCTTGCTTGATTGAGCATTCGATTGTTGATTAGAGTGGTGCTTCTTCATCTAAGATTGATTATTGAGGTAAGGATCAGTAGTTGACTGTCCTGAAATTTATGAATTCATTGACTTGAGGTCAATTATGGTACTAGGCTACTTAACACTCACTTGATATTTATCTAAAGTAGAATCATTATTCCTCTCAAATTTCTACGAGCTTCTTTTAATGCTTTGACTATATTTTATTCTAAATGACTTCTTTTCTGGAGAAATTGATTATGATGGGACAGGTAAGGCGATTGATGTAAGGGCACTATTATGCTGGATGTTCTGGTATGCGATTGCAGGGTTTTCTTGAGTTTTGGATATTTATGAAGCGTTCCCAGCTTGATCTATAATTGGATGTGAATTACTACTTGCCATGGTTTTTTAGTTGCTGTAAGATTTCCTATGCCTCGTAGTAGATCCTTATGAAATAGTCCTTTCATATTAAATTTTTTCCTCAATAATAGTATTATTATCATGATTAGGATTGTTTCTAATAATTTTGGGGAAGAATGTTGAGGATTTTTAGTCAGCACTTAGCATACTTCCATTATCGAATCTAGTATTTTGGCTAATAACTTGATATCTCTCGTATGTTGGAGAGAGTACCTCATTTATATATTCTCTATATGGTGTTGTAGTTGTTTGAGGTATGTTTAGGTGTGAACTTGGTGGAGGAACAGACCTTCCATTCTAAGGTTTTCGTTTGATATCTAAAATGGCATTCCCCTAAATGGCGTTTTACGCTACCAGATTAGTCAAATTAAACTGCTAACTGAATGGTATTTATTTCCCAACAATAATTGATTGGTTAATAAATCTTTTCATATTTTTTCTCTTCTATTACGAATCATTAATGGATGTAAGTTACTTTCTGGTATCGATGCTAATTTAATTGAGATTAATGCAGTGATATTTATGCTTACTACATTTTATTTATATAAAATTTATTTGTTTTTTTAATCTCAGATCTCTACCTCTTCTTACTTTCCTTTTTACTTGGCTTCTCAACTTGCATCGCTTATTCCTTAGCAAATGCTTCAATAGTGTTTAGATTTCTTTTAGTCTTCTCTCCTTTATGCTCTTCTTCCTCGAGTATGGGTAAGATGTTGTCAAATTTCTTGAAAGCATTCATGCCATTGCCTTTGTTAGCTAGAGTATCCTTCTAGGAAGATTCATTGATATCTTAGCCAGCCTATTCATTGTTCAGATTACTATTGTTATTCCTGGCAAATTTATTAACCTTTTGACTTTGATTCTATACAGGAGTTGAGGGCACACTCATGCTTTACCTTTGATCTGATCTTAATCTCTACATATCCTGAGATATCTTGGAGATCTGAGAGAGATCATTCTAGACCATCTTATTCTCAAGCATGTTAACCTACGGCAGCATCTTAGATTTCTGCATCTGCTCTACTATCTAAGAATGCTCGTTCTCCTTATCCGAATCCAAAAAGATATTATGCCCGTCATTATCGTCCTCATCATCCATAAAGAATCCAAGATCATTGTCAAATATCTTCTTTTTCTCAGTTATAAGTCCTTTTGGCTAGAACACCTTCTACGAGGATGCTTTGCTTTCCTCATCATTTCGATTTGCTTGATCTTATTCTTACTAGTACTACTTGCCTTGATCTCGATCTGATTACTAGAAATTATTACTGAAGAAATTCTTGTCTCGACAAACTAATGAGCGTTCTGTGATCAAGTTATCTGTGTAGTCTGATAATAGTTTCTTGAAATCTATCACATCTATGTAGTCCTCTCTAATCACAAGTGTTGACTTTTTTAATCTGCCATTTACAAAGTTCTCAAGAATAGCCTCATCTATGTGCTCACCCATATATTCTAGATCTAGCTCAATCTTTTCTTCCTCTTTAATTTCATCTAAGGTTGTCTGCTTTTTAGTTCTTGGGTCATAGACAGTTTGATAAAAGAATAGTTACTGAACTTTCTTCAAAGCTGGCAGGTACTCATCAGGTATTCTCTCCTTGAAAGTCTTGCTTTTCTTCATTTCCTCAATCACCTTATCAACGTCCCCTGTATTCTTCATAAATTACTTTATGGCTACCTTTAGTCCTACTTGCTAAATAGAGGGGAGATACTCGCAACCAGCCATGATGCATATTTGAACAAACTGCTAGCGAGTGATTGTTTGCAAGTACTTTAGTGACTGATCGGTAATTTTTTAATTCTGTTAAAAATCTGTCATACTGAACACTTTGCAATAGCCGTTGAAATTTAGTTTCATTAGTAACTTCGGACACCCGTAAGCTATTAGATCGGAGTCTTCACTAATAGCAAAATCAGCAATTCCTGCCTTAACCATATAAGCTATCTGTGAGTCTGCTTCATAAGGAGCTACTACCATTTCTATGCCTAATTTTTTGAGTATGTCCTGGAACAAATCAATCATTTTAGTTCTTAATATAAGTGAACGCATGAAGTATTTTCTTGCCTCATCTTCATTACCATCTTCCGCATTTTACATTGCTAGTTCTTTATTCAGCTATTTATTATGCGAGCGAACCTTTTCAGTAGCCTCCTTGGCTTTAAGATGCAAACCATCGAAGACACAGATAGGCTTGATTCCATACTATTACACTAAGCAGAGCATTTTGAGTGGGTAAGAAAGAAATCCCAGCGTCTATTAATCCAGTCCTAACTCATAAGAGAAAGCATATGCACCTTTATAAAGCCAAGTCATCACATCTACAGCCGCTGTCTGGCCTCTAAACTATGAGAGATTGCAGTCACGCTGAGCTGGTTTCAGCAACTGCAACAAACCTTATATTCCCATTCCCGCTAAATTTATATATTTATTGATTTATTATTTCAATCTCAGTTTAGCCTACAAATCCAGGTAGATGGGGTTTTGGGGTTTTGGGGTTTTGGGGTTTTGGGGAGATCG